GTGATACACATCATTGTACAATGTATAGAGGCTCAGGGCCACCAAGCCAGGGCGAGAATCTCTTCTTCTGACAGTGAATTTATTTTTAAGTTTAACAATTTATTGAAGTTTTAAACAATTAATATTTAATTTTTTCAAATGTTAAATACAGTGAATTTAGAACATTTTAGTCCATAGAACTGTAAAATGTTAGAATTGATACTAGCAAGTAGCAATAGCATAACACAATGTTTCCTGTCCAAATTTGGCTTTTGATAGCAACATAGAATCTGCATTTAAAAAGTCTACACTTTTGAGACCAATATATTTGTACCGGTCTACTAGTTGGTTGACACATAGAATTTTACTGCAAATGGCAGAACGGGATTGAAGATTCGTGTTGATTTGCATGGACAGTGTGACTGACAGTCATATGCAGTGTTAACTTTTAAATGCAGATTCTACTGTACATGACTGAAGATGGTTTCTACATGTATAATTTTAAGCATTCAAAATATACATGTACAACAGCACATCTAAAATGGTACCATTTCGATTCTGTCTTGAACCATTCAACAAAATTTTGACTACAAACCTGAGAAGTTTACAAAAACTGTCTATGTGATTGTGTCCAGGCCAATACCATATGAATACAGGTCCGACCGTCTTGTTCTTCCTTCTGGAGAAAACGTTCCCAGGTCTCTGCAGGTGACCAATTTCCTTTTGGAGATGGAGTCTCACTGACACAATGAAAATGGTGTTGAAATGAGATGCCCTACAGAAAGAAAGTTTACTCATTTGAAAATGTCCATGTAGTACTATGTACGGATGTCCATCAAGAGAATACACAATATCCACATGTATTTTCTTCTTCTTGCTCTTCTGGATCTGCCAGTCCACAATTTTGGGGATCTAGTGTTTTTGTCTTGACAAACGACTGGGCAGGTCTTGACAAACGAGTCTCGTCCTCTCCTTCCCAATCTCTGACTCCAGATGACACCAACATGACACCATATCAGGTTGTGGGATCCAAATTGGCATTCCTGAATCGTGTCCTGAAGAAAGACTTTGTACAATGGTAGCCCTCATTTTTCCCAGACTTGGGACTGAGCTTTCCATTCCTTGTGAAGTTAAAATTTTTTGTCCTCTGTCGTCTTTGTTATATTCCTGCCTACCTTATGAATTATGAATTTTTATATCTGTCTATTATTACAGTTTAAATTGCACAGATAAACAGAATACCATGGAGAATAAACGAACAGAAGCTGCTCTGGAATTGAACAAATCTAAACCAGCAGGAAAAGGACTTCGTCCAAAAAACGAAAAGTTTTGGATGGAGAAGAATTGGAATCAAGTTCGGAGAACTGCTCAGTGAGTAGGCCTATTCTTTGTCCTAACAGTAAATAATTGTTTTATAAATTTCATTTTATAAGTCAATAAGCCATTTTGAAGCTAGAGATCACATGCTTGGATACCGCAACGCCTAGCTCTAGAACTATAGCCATTTGCTCCGCCACATGCCTGTGGCGGAGCGAAGGGCTATAGTGCTAAAGCTACGCATTGACATGCTTGAGATCAAGCTTCAGTAAACAAATGTCCGCCTGAGGTCAATTGCATGTGGTTTTCGATAAAAGATATTTCAGTATTACACGTTTTATAGTTCACTTCAAAACTGAAACACTTGTATCATGTATAGTAGAGAAGTTTATGTTTAAGTAGGAGGGCGCAGGTTATATAGGGGACAGACGTCAGCAGATGGGCAGGAACGTACGCAAGTAGCCGAGTATAGGCTTCTGGTATAGGCAAGCAAATAGGTAAGAAGTATAGATTGTGTGAAAACTGTCTTCTACCTTCGCATAGTGCACAAAATTGTGGAGAAAATCAGTGTGTTCTGTCCCAGGTTGTGGAAAGAAACATACTATGTATATTCATAATGATGGTGATCAGTCAGCATCTGTAAACCGAAGCAGTAGTGTGTCAAATGCAAGTATGTCCTCGGACAGAGAAACATATGCAGGTATTAGTTAACAATGAGATCCTAGTCAATGCACTACTAGATACCTGTTTTAGCAACTCCTTCTGTTCGAGTAGTTTAACCAATCAGTTAAACTTGACAGGTCAAACAGTGTCATATCATTTAAGTTCTTTGTGTAAGTCAGCTCCAACAAAATCTCAGATGGTGAATTTATCACTGTCATCCGATAATGGAGAAAGTATAGGCATGTCTGGTGTATATGTGATTGATAGAATACCTGTGAAGTCTGCCCACTTGAATGTTAAAGTTTATAAGCATTTGGTTGACATTGATAAGGTATCTTTTGAAGTTGTACATGATGTTGACTTGTTAATAGGGCAAGATCATACTGAGGCCTTTATTCCACTTGAGGTACGTAAAGATGACAGAAGTGAGCCCTTCGCTGTCAGAACGCCTTTTGGTTGGTGTATCAATGGTCAATCTCCAGTTGGTAAAATCGGTCGTACAGTTGTGTCACATTTTGTAAGTGCTTTGTCTACTCCAATTGTCGATGACATACCTGCACTGTGGAAGATCGAGAATGAGGGTATGGATGAGATCGGTTGGTCACGTGAGGATAAATCAGTTATCGATTTTTGGGATAGCGAATGTGTCATGAAAGATTGACATTTTGAACTTCCTATCCCTTGGAAAGATAGAGAGGAACCATTACCCAATAACTATGCTTTAGCAAATTGGCGTTTGCAGTCTACGGTTAAGAAACTTGAAAAGCAGGGACTTTTACAAAGGTATGATGCCGAAATCAGTAAATTAGTTTCTGAGGGTTATGCAGAGGTTGTTCCGCAATATCAAAATGCGAAATAGATGGGAATTGATTGGATGGGAAAGGTATCCAAGTGTTCCTTAAATGCATCGTTTGTGATGCACCTGCAAAAGCTATGGTGAAGGGTATCAAGCTGTATTCTGGATACCACGGATGTGATAAGTGTACCCAAACTGGAGAATGGAAAGGCAGAATGATTTACCCTAGGACTAGCAATTTGCAGAAAAGAACCAATGACTCGTTTTGGGCCAAACAACATCCAGAACACCACAATGCAGATACGCCATTCTGTCATCTACCAATTGATATGGTCAAATGCTTTCCACTGGACTACATGCACCAATCATGCCTTGGCGTAATGAGGAAATTACTTCCTATTTGGATTCGAGGAACAGGGAGACTACTGAATTTCAAAATAGGTGCTGCGCAAATCCAGAGTATTAGCGAGAAACTTCTTCAGCTAAAGGATTCTATAACCAGTGATTTTCAACGAAATCCTCGTCATCTTTCCGAAATAGATAGATGGAAATTAACGGAGCTACGCCAGTTTCTTCTATACACGGGTAAAATTTGCCTGAAAGGAGTATTGACAACAGTCTCTTATAATCTTTTCATGGCGTTCAGTGTTGCTACTTGCATTTTAGTCAACCGTAACCTCGCAGCAGAGTACCACGCATTTGCAGAAGATCGTCTGATTTATTTCAATGACCAAGGATGTGCACTGTATGGTCAGGAGTTTCTTGTTTATAATGTCCATAGTATGGTGCACATGGCGGATGAACCACGCGAATTTGGAGACATAAACAATTGTGCCGCATTCCCCTTTGAGAATTACTTTCAGTACATGAAAAAGCTTGTGAGATCGACCTATTGTCCAAATTATCAAAACACTATGTGAGGTTGAACAATTTCGAAGCACACAAACACAACCAAAAGCTTCAGTTGTGTCTACGAAGAAACCCAATAACTGCTACGTTCTCAGTGAATCGTCATGTTGTGAGGTGCAAGAGGAAACCAATGAAACTAGCCAAGATGGTGATAAACTATTCCTTTGTAGGATCTATACAAACAGTAAAAATGCATTCACTTCACCTTGTGATTCTAAAATAATTAGTGTACACAAAATTAACAAACGCAACACCAGAATGCAGAAGGTCCAACTCAGATCCCTAAAGAGGAAAGCATTGACGTTCGATGTTGATAGAAATACATTCATCTTCATGGTATTGTTGCATTGCGGATGAAATAAATGGTAATTTTGTACATAATAAATGTACAGTACAGTCAACTTTGCTTAAGTCGAACTTTGCGGGACCTAGAAATAGTTTTGACTATTGGCGAAGTTCTACTCACATGTTGTATGTAGAAAAATTTGGACTTTTTATTTGTTCCGCAATTACCCTGTAATTGAGTTTGTATTGACGGAAAAATGCTGTAATCACTGTATTCTGTCTCAAAAGATAACGGCAAACCTTACGTACATGTACATGTATTATACAGGTAGTTTGGTTACAACTCGTAGATGGCGCTAGCGTAAGCACAACAGTTTGATCAAGCCTGTGTTCCCGAATATTTTATAAATTTTTGGTGCAAACTGAATATTATTTCTGGACTACTGGCGTTATGGGTAAAGTTTAATTACTCAAGATCGCAATGGAACTGAAAAATAGCCACCAAAACAACTGGCAGAGCTGGTATCCAACTGCAGATATTCTGTGTTTATCTGTTGCTATGGCGTGTTGAAACATGGCGTGCTTAGTGATGGGATCCTCTGGAGCTATACTGTAGGTTCAACCAAATCAGGAAGGTCACAGGGAGGTCCCATTTGCAATTAGTAGTGCTCATCGGCGGTTCTGTAATGTCAACTCGGCAACAGTCCCGGCAATCGGCAGTTCTGTGCTGTCAAAACACGTCAGCGGGACTAGTTGTTACTCACAGCTTACAACGACCTTGCTAAGAAGATGGGACTACGTATTAACACTGCAAAAACAGAGACCATGTGCATTGGTACTGAAGCTGAGTTCTTCATAGCTGACACCAAGTTGGCGAACGTCACCCGCTTCAAATACCTTGGCAGCTATGTAACAAATGACTGCTCGATGAAGGAGGAACTTGCAGCTCGTATCCAAGCAACATCATGTGCTTTTGGTCGACTACGTCAAAGAGTGTTCAACTCACGTGACCTTACAGTAAACATTAAAGTCAAAGTCAACAACCAGTGTCTTATGCCACTTCTGATGTACGGCAGTGAAACCTGGACTCTGTACCATCATCAAGTTCGACAACTGAAAACAATACAACAACGTCACCTGCGCTTAATCATGCATAATAAATGGGATCATTACATCAGTAACGAGGAGGTCCTGAACATAGCGGGTGTTGAAGACATCGATTTGAAGCTTGTTAAAAGTCGTCTGCGTTGGCTTGGCCACATCTGTAGAATGGACAATGACAGACCAGCAAAGGCACTCTTATACAGCGAGCTAGCAAATGGATCCCGATCTGTTGTTTGTCCTAAATTGAAATGTAAGGATACCTGCAAAGGTGCTCTGAGGTGTGGTAATATTCGTGATCAGTGGAGGAATGTTGTAGACAACAGACAGGAGTAGAGAGGTCTTGTGCATACAACTTGTGAATGCTTCAACATAAAGAGAATCAAACGGTATGAAAGAAAAAGTTAAAAAGACGAATTTGAACAAAAGATGATCTATGAACTTTATAGCGATAGATATTTGTACTACATTATTATTCTGTGCAATGCCCGTTTCGGGCTCTCACTAGGCGTATATACATACTGGTTACAACTGCATATTGGCTATTGTGTTCCTCCATATTCAGCCAAGTACTGTATCAGTAAACAAAGTATTGTCGCATGCTCAAATTTTGGGCATTATTTAATTTCTTGCGCATTTAATAAACAGCATTATCTGCGAGTTTGACATGCATTTTTAATGCGAATGCGCGAAATTAGCTTGGTAGATTTGAAAAAATAACGATGAAGAAAAATGGTTTTTTTTTTTTTTAACCTCTGATATGGGGTTTTTTCACCAGAATATTTGCATAAATCTTTCACCCTTTTCTATGAATTTGACATTGAAATTAGACAATTTTCCAATGGATAATTTTAGAGGTCAATGCGTCACTCATGACAGATGTATTTATGATGCCATATCTCAAAAACTAAATTATTTTCTGACTTTTTTTTCTTTCACATTGTTAGTGCCCATAGTCACGACTTCAGTCCATGAGGGTTTTTTTTTCTTCAGAAAATGTGCACACTCCCACAGCATTTACAGCATTTACAGCATTTACAAATACTAAAAAAGGTCATTTACCTCTCAGGGTGTTACCTCAAATGAAAATATTAATTATTGTTAGTCATATGTCAATTTGATTTTTTTTTCATGCAAATTGGTTAGTCAAGTTTTTATAATAATTATAACTAACAAATGATTGTCCCAAATATTTTTTATTTTTTGATAATTTGAAGTGAATAGTGGAAAACAGCCTTTGCCTGAAATGACACTTAAGTCTCTTTACTATAAATATTCTTTGTTCCTTCTTGGTTATTTACTTATAAATTTGTTCTGCAGATGGGTGAATACGCAGTTGTGGTATTTACAGATGAAGCTGATGCAGTCGCTTTGGTGTCCGGGTAATGGGCCGAAAGCTCTTGAGCCTTTCCCCACGACCATTCTGCCTTGGATCTAGTCAGGCGCTGGAGTGGTTCTGCGACGGTCGCCAAATTCGGAATAAACTTAGCCGAATAATTCACCAGTCCGAGGAAACTACGAACTTCAGCTGGAGTCACCGGCTCTCTCGCACTGACCACTGCGGAAATCTTGGCTTGTTCTAGCGCAATTCCGTAATCCGACAACACATGACCGTAGAACACTAGCTTTCTCATCCTGAACAGACACTTGGGTAGATTTGCTGTCAACCCATTCTCTACTAGTTTAGTCAGTACTTTGTCCAAGTACTTGTCATGATCGGCATCATCATCACCGTACACTATCAGATCGTCCGAAATGTTCTTCACTTTCCCGCACGTCGCGAGAACCTCATGGATGATGTGTTGATACACCTCCGGAGCCGATGTTATTCCGAACATCAAACGTTTATATCGATACAGCTTGTCGAGGACACTGAACGTTGTAATGTCTCGAGACTCTGGGTGGAGCTCTATCTGGTGGTAGCCCCACCTAAGATCAATCTTGGAGAACACTTTAGCACCGTTCAGATCATGCAGCACATCATCTATCGTCGGGATCGGATGACGCTCGCGAATAATGGCCTTGTTAGCCATCCGCATGTCGATGCATAACCGGATTTCACCGTTCCGCTTTGGCACAATCACTGGCGCTGACACCCATGACGTTGGCCCTTCAACGCGTTCTATCACATCTAAGTCCTCCAACTCTTTCAACCTCTTCTCGACAGCCTTCCACTGACTGTACGGGATTTTCCTCTGTCTCTGCGCAATCGGTGTCACACTAGGATCAATGTGAAGTTTCACTTGGTAGTCCTTCAACTTTCCTAGACCACTGAAACATGCACTGTGTTTAGACAACAGTTTCTGTACGTACAAATCATCAGGCTTACCAATAGCCTCACTGTCCACAGCGTTGACCTGGTTCTTCAAACACAGAACCCCGAGTTTAATCGCGGTGTCACGTCCCAGTAACGCACACCCTTTTCCGTTGAGCACAACAAACTCAGCGTGCTTTGACACCTTGCCGTCTGCGAGACAGATGTCTGCTGCGAACACTCCCTTGATCTCTAATGGTTCATCAGACTGATATGCGTACAGCTTCTTACTAGTGTATCTCAGTTTCGCGTTCAGGCCGCCCTTAACTGAATTCCAAATCTGCCAGTTAACAATGTTACAACTAGCACCAGAGTCTATCAGCATGTCCACTGACGTTTGCCCTATTCGAACTTTCACATGTCCATCTGGGATTCCCCCTTTTTCGGTACCAATTGTGAAAATGTCGTCGTAGACGATGAGCTACTGTCCCTTCTTACACTAGCTCCCTGTGTTCCACTCACAGTCTGGACTTTCTCGCGTTTTCCTTTACGCCATCCGGCTTTCCCACCTGAACCGTCCTTTTTTGTTCGGCACACCTTGGCAAAATGTCCGACTCCGCCGCACTTGTTGCACTTCTTTCCCTCTGCTACTTTACACTCTTTCGCGATATGTCCGGTATAACCACACCGATAACAGTTCTGTCCTTGTTGACGATTACCACGACCTCTACCGGCAGCACGACAACCTATCTGTGGCTGCTGGCTGTTCGAATCCACTTTGTTGACCGTGTCCATACGACCCGACGTAGACTCCGATCCTTTGATCTTCGTGGCCTGGTCCTCCACTGCCTCCATGGCACTCGCGAGTTCACAGAGTTTATCAAGAGTCAAGTTCTGTTCACGAAGAAATCTACGGCGGAACTTATTCGACGTGCACTTATCGATCACCTGATCGCGGATCATATCATCCTGAAGCGCCCCATACTCACAGGTTTTCGAAAATTTCCTCAACCTACTGACATAGGCACACATGGCCTCTCCTTCTCCTTGTGCAGCTGCCCGAAACACATGGCGTTCGAATGTCACATTCTTCTTGCCCTCAAAGTACGTATTGAGTGCCTCCAAGGCTGGCTGAAAGTCACTATCAGTCCCAGTATTTGGCAATGTCTCAAAAATGTCAATGCAGGTTGGCCCTGCACAGTGAAGCAACAGCGCCCTCTTTTGGGCAGGCTTCGTAACGCCAGTAGCAGCAAGGTACAGCATGAAGCGTTGCCGCCATTTTTCCCATCTCTGAGCAAGACTGGCCGGCGCACCTTCCGTGTCGAATGCCTCGATCTGCCCTAAGTTGAGAATGCTCGTGGCCATGTTAGCAACTTTATCCTCGTCGCCACTGTTGAGACGCACATCCGAATCGAATCGATTACACACTGTATTCAAACACACGCAACTTTATTCCAACACTGGCTCCACGCCGCCATCACACATCGTCTGCCTCCCGCGCGCCCCCTGGCCTTAGTTACAAGAACTAATCTACTCACTTAGGGATATCTCATCCCAACACTACTCAGACAGTTAGATATGTATGGACATCAGTTTTGCTTAGAGAATGTTAGAGTAGCTAGTCAGTCACTATTCTCAGAATATTTGTAATAATGTTAGAATGCCTATCAGATGTCTGTATACTATTTAGTGTATTTAGACAGAATAGGTATTGTTCGTATTAGTCAGCCTATCATCCCTGGGATGACTTAAAGGCTTACCCACTTGTTCAGTTAGGGATACAGTTAGAATTATGTTAATTGTATTGTGACTCGTACTTATTATTATTGTGTGTTTATTGTATTCGGTCCGATTAGTAAGCATTCCTTGTTTTTCTAATTGCAGATTGAACCTTGCTATTATTGTCACTTGTTGATAATAAAGTATGAGTTTAAATACAGCCTGGCTTTGCTAGTTGTACGTCACCCGTCACCCCCAAACAGTCACGGAAAGCCTACCCACAACATGTCACCCGCCATAGTATGAGCTTATGCCGTGGCCCGGCGTCCGTCCGTCCAACTTTTTCTCAAATAGCTTCTTCTTCGCCATTTCTGGTCTGATTTTGTTTCTGTTTGTTTTATATGATAGCCCAATGTTAGGAGATCAAAACGTGTATTCAGAATTTTGAATTTTGAATACTTTAATATGTTTGTGCTACTATCTGACTAAATTCCTTTCGCAATTATAAAATGTTTCTGAATATTTAGGAAAAATTGTCTACATATTTTTCAAGAAATAATTGCAAATCATCGCATTTAGAATTTGTTCACGTTGACATCTCATTCAGACTTTTTATATTTTATATTTAAAAAATTGACTTGAAAATACAATTTAGATCAGTGTTTGGAACAGGTATAACTTCAGCTTATGAAAATTTCCATGTGTCTACAGACTTTTATATGGAGGTCACTGTATACACGTATGTAAAAAAAAAAATTCACCTAAGTTACTGTAATTATGAATAGAAATTTGGTCCATAATAGCATGGCAACCTGGAGGACAAAATTTTAAGTGTTATGTGTCGCCTGTACTGATCGACCTACTAAAATATACATGTAGCCTACTCAAACAAGTTTGTTGTTGCAAATGAATTTTGATCCAGAGTTTGTTCCATCTCCTATTGACTGACATTTGCTCAGGCAGCCCATTGAATATCTTTGCTCTAGTCGGATTAGAAGTATTAAAGAACACTCGGTCTGGTCGAATTCCCATGTTTACCAGACCGAATAAAGCGTTACCAGGCCAAAAACTTAATGGAAAATAATTGTGACCAGACATGTCAGGCTGTCAAGTGAAATGGGTCACTTTTCATAACATTTCTGTTGTACGAATATACCGGGAAATACTTAATAATATTAAGTAGGAATTATTTATATAACAAATGTTTATATATTTAACAAATGTTTATTTACATTCTTGCTATTTCAGGTTTTCGACCGCCTCCAGCCTCTCGGATTGTGGTTGAGCTATGGACATAGCCTTACTGTTCTAGACAAGCACTCGGATAAATTTAAATCTGACATTGCTGATGCCATCGCGAGGATAAAACGTATCAGGCTCGTTGGAGACAATGTGAACTGGCGTACTGATGTGCACGACCAACGTCAAGACCGCCATGGCCACATGCACCATGCCTTTGGATCTGCAGCTATTATCCAGACATTGGACTTCGGACATTTGGACAGCGTGGCACCACAGCGTTCATATGTTCATGCACCTGTCGAGCTGTTCCTTCCGAATGAGGATGACTGGCTCCATATTAGCTCGGAGTATGCCATCTTGATGGGACGTGTGGCAGCTCGTCATATACCAGCCTTCCACTTCTTAAAGGATCTGGTGTCAAAGCCCATCCAGGGCCCAGTGAGGAACACGGTGAAGAGCAAGGTTATACCACTGCCTGTTCTTCACCTGAACGAGCAGCGTTACGACGATGTGGTACAGATCCTCGACTACTACGAAAGTCTGTTGTCCGAGTGTGCGGAGAAAGCTGGTGCGACACTGGACGACCTTAAAGTCCACATTGGAGGCGACCAGTTGACGAGGGAGAGATTTTCTGGTGCGAAATGTCTCAGTGGGGGTGGAAATTCCAGGAAAGAGCGATTCGACCATCTGTCGCCAATCACCTTTGAACTATTTCACATGCAAATGAATTTTACCAAGCTGATCTTCAAACATTTGTACAACAGCGACAGTGTAACCGATGTGGGCACGATGAAGTGTGAACAAAACCGAATTCTGCGTAGTAACGTGAATGAGAATGTGAATGAACACTATGACGCCGACAAAGACTTCATCGTGTCTTTCGTCGACTCATACATTGTGGCAGCCATAGTTGAATTTTTCGGCATGGAAAATGTGTATGCTGCCCCCACACAGAACTGTCCTCCACAGCAGTGAGAGAGTGAAGCCGAGAAGGCCGTTTGGCTGACGACTGTGTTTGGTAGGCTTGTCGATCAGTTTGTGTGGCCCAGTTCGATAGCACATGTTTCTCAAGAAGTTGTTGTGAATGACGGGCTGGTGTTCACCGTAAAACAAACAGATGGTGCGGTCAAAACAATTACTCTGAAGAGACAAAAACCAGATCCTGACAGAGTAAAGAACTATGGCCACACCGTCTTGGAATTAGGCCTTATGTTCAAGTCCATAAATGACTTGTGCAAGATCCCTGACAGAGACCGTGGACTCCGCCTGATGAAAGTCGCAATGATGCACTTTAAGGCCAGCAACAACCTGTCAAAATATTCTTACGAAATTATGAGGTTTTTGGTTCACTAGCTGTGTGTGCAATCGGAACAGGCGGCTACAGAGACCTTCTATGGTCTGTTCGTGAACACGCGTGGCAAAGTCGACACTCACATTCCATGTGACTTACAAATGGAATACATTGTCCAGGTTTTAAAGAAGAACATTAAGCACATGTTTTCGAACAAGTCCGAAAATAACATTTCAACGAGGACTAGTGCCTTGCCAGTCATTATGGACATTTCGGACAATTTTGACAGTGTGTCTAGTGTGATTGTGCGGGCAAAGAGACACTCTGATGTTGACGCAACCAAGGATGAATTGGACATGATAAATGATATTATTAAGGTTCATTCCAAACTCGACCAGGGCGCGCACACAAGTCATTTCCAAACAGTGAGACCAACTTGTTGCAGACGCTGGACATGGATGTATTTCGAACATGGTTGTTATGCAAGAAGTACATTTTTGCTACAGAACTAGGTCAGTAGCATGTTCATGTATTTGATCAATAGGACAAGCAAGTAAATATGTGACGGTTGTCACCGTGTTACATTGGAGAGAATTTTCACTGCAAGGCTTTATTAAATCTTGGTTTAAATCTACACGTTCATGTGTACCCGAGTCTGAGTTGCAAGCTTTGTCATATATAAATGTTCATGTCCTGTGTAAACATAGTGCACGAGTTGAAAACAGCATGGCGGAGCTGAACTGTTATTAGTCGTAAGCACAGTAGTGATGGGTAATTGGTTCAAATTCATAATGGATTACACTTGATCGATCACTTCTTATTGATTACAATGTTTTATTACATGGGCAACACTCCTGTTAAGTTCAAGTATATGAGCCATGTGCTATATTCCATTTATAGAGTTCTGGTCATCAGGTCCTGATGAAATGATGCAAATGGTTGCACATGTTGTATTAAGATTCATCAATATTTGTACAGTATTGATTGATATTGGTAAATAAACTGATCTGTTGACATTTTGTAACATGAACAACATGCTTCTTGAACTATTTTGCCAAATTGAAAGAGATTTGTGAGAGATACAACCCCCAGTATTTGGAATCTTTCAACACTGGTTCTGTACTAACTCTGGCAAATGAAAACCCCCACAGTCTGCTTCGTTTGTCCATTGACACTCCAACTGTCCTGGACTGTGCCCATGACTTCTCTCGGGCCACACATGAAGTCATCAAGAAGCAATGCCAACACACATTCCATTACTTCACAACAAAGAAGAAGGCTCATTACCAACAACAAACAGCAACGATGCCCCTCAAAGATCTGCCAAGAATTCCACATGAGAGAGCAGTGAACCTCCAAGCAGAATCCATCAGAAAGCTGTTGGAATACCGCAACAGCTATGGGCGATGTGTGAGGCAGAGGAATGTGCGGAGCGACACAACAAAGGAACGACCAGGAAGTCTCCCACAGTACCTGTACAGGCGAGAGGTGCAGGACAACACTGTGTGTGTATTCTCTGTTGAGGAGGAAGTTACCACGCACAACACTGGATAATAGCACAGATGAGATACTGTATGGACTAGGGGAGTATTTGGCTCTACTTATGTCAGGTAGCGTTTCAATCGCCAAGGTTACAACGCCAGTGTGTGAAGGTGATCGTGTTGCCACTGTGGACATGTTCAATTGTGATTCGTGTCCATTGACATACACATATCAGGGGTCTGAAACCGTGTCTTTGGTCAACCTTCTTGAGATTATCAATCCAGATCAGCTCACACAACAGGTAGACGGGGCTTTGCAATTAAATGAGGATGTTTATTTAAAGATGACCAGTGCTTTTCGACATGACACGGATGTAGAGCCAGATGAGGTATCCAACAGGTGGGAAGAACCAGACAATGGAGAAGAGCAAGTGCTTTCATTCACATCAAGAGGACGCGCAGTAGTTAAACCCAGTCGCTACAGGGAGGCAGAGTATTACTAAAGAGTAAGAGACAATTATGTAAATATATGGGACAGACTATCCTGTTTGGTGGCATGTATATGTTATTATAGTTATATATGATTTTTAATCTCTGTGGTGATGTAAAGGCATAATATTATCTGTGACATT